TGTGTGTGTGTGTGTGTACCTACTTAATCATATTTTGGTGACAAATTTGTACCCAAAAGTGAGCTAAACCTGACAAAATCGCCAAAAAAAAACTCCATTTGGGGATGTCCTCATTTGTAAAACTGGTATAAAAGTAGAGTAAACAAAGTTTTTTTGAAATTGTAAAAATGCAGAAAGTTTTCTGTGAGGGGTAGGGTCAGGGGTAGGGGTGGGTTTAGGTTAAAAAGTGTATAACTATCTGTATATAAAAACAATAGACGTCTATGTAATGTCCCCATTTAGATAGCTAAGTAAACGTGTGTGTGTTTGTGTGTGTGTGTGTGTGCGCGCGTGTCGGGGAAATGGGTTACTTAACTATAATTTGGGGACAAAACTAGCCTCTGAGTGTGTGCATGTACCTTCTTAACCTTATTTTGGGGGCAAGTTTATAGTTAAATCTGACACAATCTCTTTTTGGGGACATCCTCATTTGTAAAAACCAGGATAAAAATTGCAACAATACAGAAGGTTTTCTCTTTAGGTTAGTATCTAGAATTCATAGCGAATGTCCTCTTTTAGGTGTGTGTGTGTGTGTGTGTGTGTTTCCCGGTCCTCTCTGGAGACCCATGTTTACGGTATAATGTGGTGTTTTCTCTCTAAGTGTGACTGTTTAAACATATTATTTATCTGGTTAGAGGAGCATTTGTAGAAGTTTGTCGATTGAAGACAGCCCATTCAGCATTAATTGTGCGTGTGTTCAGTCTCCCTCTCATAAGAGTAAGCGTCAGCAGCAGGAGCTGATTGTGGAGCTGAGGAAGAAGCAGGTGAAGGACAGCAGACATGTGTATGAGGGTAAAGACGGAGCCATTGAGGACATCATCACAGGTAATGGGGTCTGCATGCAGAGGGCTGTAAAACATACACACAGTTGTAACGTGTTAGTCTGAGCCACTAACCAGCTCTCTGTGACTGGTGGAAAGCTTTACTGGTCAATAACAATTTTCTGAGCAGTGTGATTACAGGCTGAATGTGTGTGTGTGCTGTTACTGCTTACAGCTGTGAGCTACTAAACACTGTGTGGGTAGTGATTAATGTAGTCCTCAAGGGGTCATATATTTATTTGTATAGTGTTTTTCACAATAAACATGTATGGAAAATCATGATGTTAATGTTTTGATCTCAATATCTTCATGCCTTACTAGATAGATAGATAGATAGATGGATGGATGGATGGATGGATATATAGATAGGTAGGTAGATGGGTAGATGGATAGATAGATAGATAGATGGGTAGATAGATAGATAGATAGATAGATAGATAGATTGTAGATGGGTAGATAGATAGATAGATAGATAGATGGATGGGTAGATGGATAGATAGATAGATAGATAGATGGTAGATGGGTAGATAGATGGTAGATGGGTAGATAGATAGATAGATGGGTAGATGGATGGATAGATAGATAGATTATAGATAGATAGATAGATAGATGGATGGATGGATGGATGGATGGATAGATAGATAGATAGATAGATAGATAGATAGATAGATGGATGGATAGATCATTTAAATGAAAGCTTTCTTCACTGTGGACTAAAGGATTATTTCAAAACCAGATTATTTATTTAAAAAAAAGACATGTAACTGTGAAATGTAAATGTGAATTCAATGATATGATCCCTTTATATATATATTCTAACCATGACAAACAATCTCTGTAATGAGCCTATAGTATTTAAGAGAACAGAATTAGAGAATATTATGTAGTATAAAAGTATTTTTATACCTTTTGTGTAATTCTCTTGACAGCTGCATTAGATAGATGGTAGATGGGTAGATAGATAGATAGATGGGTAGATGGATGGATAGATAGATAGATGATAGATAGATAGATAGATAGATGGATGGATGGATGGATGGATGGATAGATAGATAGATAGATAGATAGATAGATAGATAGATGGATGGATAGATCATTTAAATGAAAGCTTTCTTCACTGTGGACTAAAGGATTATTTCAAAACCAGATTATTTATTTAAAAAAAAGACATGTAACTGTGAAATGTAAATGTGAATTCAATGATATGATCCCTTTATATATATATTCTAACCATGACAAACAATCTCTGTAATGAGCCTATAGTATTTAAGAGAACAGAATTAGAGAATATTATGTAGTATAAAAGTATTTTTATACCTTTTGTGTAATTCTCTTGACAGCTGCATTACTATTTTAGGAGTGTATGTAATAATCCATATTGAAATAGCTAGTTTCAGCTTAATTTAATAGCTGCTATAGTACCATGTGATTATTAGTGTGTGCTGTTGTGTGTAGAAAGTGCTAACATTGTGCATGTTGCTCTGGCAGTTAAACCCTCTGTGTGTGTGTGTGTGTGTGTGTGTGTGTGTGTTTCGTCTGGACGCAGTGCTGAAGACTGCCCCCTTTACTGCGCGCACGGCCAAACGCAGCTCGCGTTACTTCAACGAGGAGCTCCACTTCTAAAGCTTAGACTCTCTCTCTCTTAAAGGTCGCTGGATAAAGCTGCTCTCTTTCATTCTCTGTGTGTGTGTGTGTGTGTGTGTGTGTGTGTCACACTTCACATTCCTGGTTTTATTTCCCTGTGGGGTGTCCCTTCTGGATGTGGGCCGGCGTATGGATGGGATGTCATGGACGTGTTCATTTTTCCTTTCTTTTCCAACTGAACTCCTGCATGACGGGGGGTTTGAGGAGGCGAGCATATGTTGACACCGCAGTTTTCTTTTGCATGGAGTGTGTCATAAATTCATATTCATCATTGTAACATGAATGTAATGAGGAAATATGATGTCACAAAAACCCAAACACGTCAAGAGTTTAGAATTAACTCTATGTACGTTTCAGCTGTGTTTAAACTGAAGTATCAGTTCTATTGGTTGACTCAGAGCGCCCGCTGCAGTTTAAAAAGCAGGCATAAGTATGAAAATATATATTTCACTTTTCCAAAATGATCCATTTTGCCATTTTTGTTACTGTATCATCAAAAGCATTGGTACCACTTTATATTAAGTGGCCCATCAAAAAATAAGTACAATGTGCTTATTGTGTTGATACTGTATTGCAAAACACTTTTGCTGCTATTGAGGCGGGATATCATACGGGTGAGGTTAGGGACAGGTTTGGTGGTTAAGGTGTAAGCGATGGGTCAACAGTGTATAAATGTAATTACAGAAATTAATCACAGATGTAATTACATGCAGGTATTTTTTTTAATATAAGTACAATGTAAAAACATGTATATGCACAATAAGTGCATTGTACCAAATGATTAATTTAAATGTAAGTACAAAGTAGTTAAGGCAACCTAATATAAACTGGGACTAAAACATTTTTTAGATTATTATTATCCACAAACTGCTGAATGATCCATTACTCAGAAAGCACTTCAGAAACAGTCATGTTTGTGATGCTGGCTCGTGTTGGGCATGTGACATCATTGTTTGCTCATGTGTTCATTTGTCCATGTCATTGTGAGTATATATAATATATAATGTCATTGAATTTTGTAACTATTCACATTATGCTGGTTTTCTGCATTTTCTCACTCTTCCTCCATCTTATCCTGCTCTGGTGGCAAATTTCTAATATCACATGAGTCCATGTGTTGCACGTGTGTTTAACTTGTTGCATGTTGGGATGGTTTTCTCTCATAAGCATGTTCTGCTCATTTTCTTCACTGTATGCATTTGCACGGGGTGAATGACGTTTCTCATTCAGATTTACTTCTGCTGTTAAATGTAGGGCTAAATCTCACCAAAACAGCCTATCCAGGTCATAATTTAACTCAAAAAAGGGACTTATTACAGGCCTCGTCCTCTTTATGTAAAATGCATTTAAACATTACTGTTATGAAATTTGACTGGGAGGCCATGTTTTCATGAGATTCACTTGCGTAGCATTGCTTTTAGTTTTCACCATGCACCATGACTTGCTTGAGCTTCACTTACTGTTCATCCTGGCCTATAACAATGCACTTCTGGGAGGCTTGACACATTGTCATTGGTTGCACTGTTTAAACGTGAAGTGACCACACAGACGTCACTTTGTCGTGTCTGGACCCTGGAGCCATTGCGCAGAGCAGCTTGAGTCATAGAGTTGATTCCCGCAGTATCAGCAGAGCTTCAGTAACACCCTCCAGCGCCTGCCTGTGGCCTTTGACCTTTCCTCTTTGAGCCCTGGGCAGCTTGGCTCCCTGTGCCGCGGCTTGCGTCCGGTCCACTCTGTTCTGATCTAACCTCCATTTTTGTTTCCTCTCCACTCAGCCTTAAAGAAGAATAATATTACTAAATTTCCCAATGTGCACTGGAGGGTAAGGAACTCTTCCAGTAGTACCCCAGTGGATGCTACTCAGACCTGGCAAGCATCTCTCTCTTTATTATTATTTGTCTTTCGTTCTTCTCCATCCATCGTAGATCAGTTGCTTTTGACACAAAAGCCATCTTTTTCTGTTTTCATTCTACTTAACACACATCAGGCCTATTGAGTTCTGACCCTCAAGGGCCAAGTCTCCAGGTACTCCTCATGTCCATCACCCTGTTGAACTGATTTCATTTGTAAATTAGTTTGATTAGGTGATGCCGTGACCCGAGACACGGAGACTCTGCCTGCATACAGGTGCATCTCAATAAATTAGAATGTCGTGGAAAAGTTCATGTATTTCAGTAATTCAACTCAAATTGTGAAACTCGTGTATTAAATAAATTCAATGCACACAGACTGAAGTAATTTAAGTCTTTGGTTCTTTTAATTGTGATGATTTTGGCTCACATTTAACAAAAACCCACCAATTCACTATCTCAACAAATTAGAATACTTATTAAGACCAATAAAAAAAACATTTTTAGCCTTCTGGAAAGTATGTTCATTTACTCAATACTTGGTAGGGGCTCCTTTTACTTTAATTACTGCCTCCTTTCCAACAATTCACTAAAAATGTTTTTATGAAGTATTCTATTTTATGTTCTTATGAAGTATTCTAATTTGTTGAGATTGTGAATTGGTGGGTTTTTGTTAAATGTGAGCCAAAATCATCACAATTAAAAGAACCAAAGACTTAAACTACTTCAGTCTGTGTGCATTGAATTTATTTAATACACGAGTTTCACAATTTGAGTTGAATTACTGAAATAAATGAACTTTTCCATGACATTCTAATTTATTGAGATGCACCTGTAGTCTCACGTTGAACTGATCCACACTTAGAGATAGTTGGGTTTTCATTAGTGCCATTAAAAACTGGAGTTAAGCTTCTGTAGTAGGTACATTGTCCCCAAAACACTTAAAAAAATGTCAGAATGTCAATGCATTATATATGTGACCCTGGACCACAAAACCAGTCATAAGGGTCAATTTTTCTAAATTGAGATTTATGAATCATCTGAAAGCTGAATAAATAAGCTTTTCATTGATGTATGGTTTGTTAGGATAGGACAATATTTGGTTGAGATACAACTATTTGAATATCTGGAATCTGAGGGTGCAAAAAAAATCAAAATATTGAGAAAATCGCCTTTAAAGTTGTCCAAAT